TGCAAGGGTTCATATTTATTCTGCACATAAACGTCACTGAAGAATTGCATGGCCCAGTGTCATTGTATTGGGCTCAGAAACATGCGCTGTGACGATTACAGGGTTGTACAACAATGGAATGTTTCCTTTCTAGTGTGTATTTAGTACAGAATGACATCACGTGTTGTATGACTCACCTGCAAGAGACTCGCCATCGCTCACGTACAGGACATCATTGTCTCTAGGACACAAAAACAAAACAGAAAAATAACTGCTGGGCTTGTAAGCAAAAAGTCCCTAAAAATCTGAACCTCCGTCCTGTTTTTACAGCTGCCTTTGTCCCCACTGGGGAGATTTCTCCTTCACTTCCTGTTCAGGAACTAGCGTTATCAGTAACAGGAAGTAAGGAGGAGAAAGTGAAAAACATTTTTGGAAAGCAGAGGTTTAGAACCTGTCAGTTTACATTCGGTGTCCCTATTGGGGGGGATTTTCCCTTATCGCAGAGACTGGTGCCTCCAACACAGGAAGCAAGGGGAAATCTCCCCAGTGGGGACACACGTAGGAATACAATCCTGACAACGGTTCTATACTTTATTTTATCAACAACTAGGACTTAGCTTGATGTCCAATTTAAAATAGGTGCTGCTCGGTCTTCCTCTTCCTGCTCTGCTCACGCTCTCTATTGGCTGTATGATTGATGTCCTCAGCTGCCAATAAGAAAGCAGGAAGGTGCAGGGACCACGAGACCCGATCAGATCAGTCACAGTTTGGGTGTTCAGCCAGCTGTCTGAATACAACAGCCAGCAATGCAGATCCCCCCTCCCATCCAATGGACTGTATGGTTGGCTAGTATTACACATTAATGACTGACATACACATGGCATGCTGGCCAACACAGGGAAATTAATATATAAATCCCGCGGTGGTACCGTATGAGGGCGATGTCATCGATGTGCCCGCCTCTGTCATTGTATACATCTGTTGCATGGATTCCTAGCTTGGTACTGGCGAGGGACAGAAGATCGGAGATGGACGAGCCGTGCACAGCAATAACCTGCGGGGGAGAGAGTGTCAGGAATTAGAGGGAAGGAAGGTGGGCGGGGCCAAGTGATGTCCAGGGAATATCTGAGCAAGGAGAGCGGGCAAACAGGGCAGAGGACTGAGGAATCAGGGGGACCAAGGAATCCGGGGAGGGGACTGAGGCATCTG